TGGAGGCCCAGCCGCACTCCCTGCACTTGGCATGGAGCAGGAAGACCGTGACCTTGAGGGGGTCCCAGGAGACCAGCCACGTGCTGGACGCCAGCAGGTGTGGTGAGCGCCGTGCAAGACGTTCCCGCGGCCTCGCACGCGCGGTGCGCCCCGGGGAGAGGACTCGGAGCCGTGCGGGATGGAGGGTTGTGAACTACGGGCGTTCACTCCATCAGGTTCCAATGGAGAGGCTGGCTGGCACCTCCGTGGCCTTCACAAGTGCTGAGTGAACTCATCGCTGAGCTTTCCGAGCTGCCAGGCTTGTCCTGGAGACAAGAGCCGAGGCTGCTACCCTCGCTGCAGGTCGGCCCACCCGGCCCACGTGGACACTTCAGAGACCAGACTGTATCTCTGGACCTTCTCTTCCCCCAGCCCCCCGCCCCCCGCTACACACCGCTCTTCTTTATCTGACATGTTCATAGGGAGGGAAAGGGATGATTGTAATTCCCTGAACTTGTTTCTCCCAAATTTTGTAGGAAAGCTGTACCCGGATGTTCTGTTGGTTGCAGTGTCTGGCCCGGGCCCAGGCTGTGCATTCTCCAGATTGAGAGCACGCACTGATGTGGTATTTGGACTCAATCAGAAAACTGACGTGGGAAACACACGTAAGAGAATTGTCAAGGCGACCCCAGTAGCAATTCATGATTAAACGTGGATCTGCGTGGACGAACGTGCGGAAACTGTGCCTGACCTTCATACAGGCATGGCATGGCCTGACATTTCAGAAGGAAATGTGTGTGTGTGTGTGTGTGTGTGTGTTTAAAATATAGTTGTATTGATTTCGGAGAGAGGGAGAGGGAGATGGAAACATCAATGATGAGAGAGAATCATTGATCGGCTGCCTCCTGTACATCCCCACTGAAGATCAAGCCCACAACCCGAGCATGTGCCCTGACTGGGAATCTAACCGTGACCTCCTGGTTCCTAGGTCGATGCTCAACCACTGAGCCACACCAATCAGGTGAATGTTTGTCTTTATACGTTTTTGATGAAATACTGGTAGAGCAATTTTTCCATGTGGTAAAGAGAAAAACAACCAAGAGGGAGAAATTGCGAGTTTGGTGAAGTATAAGAAAAGAAAAACGACAAATATGACGCATCATCTCTCCCTCATAATAAATGTAACGGTGAAGGAGGGAGACAGTAGAAAAACTATAATCTAATTGGGCACATTGATGTCATGTTTTTCAATGACAGAATAGAACAACCACTTGCAACTTTTACATGAAAATGAATAATTCTATGATATAAAAATAAAAACACACAAGGAAAAGTTTAAAATGGAAATATATAAATATGAACCTTGATTGAAAAATAGATAAAATGCAGATTTTCTTAGAAAAATAGAAATTAGAAATATTAGAGAAAACTAAATAAATGGACCAATATCCTTAGAAAAAACTAGAAAACATAATTATGGAACTAGTCCACAAACATGCATAAAACACAGGTAGTTTTACAGAGAACACTGAGACGTCAGAAACATGGAGAGGAAGATGAAGAGTAGACCATTCTGCACAGGAAGGTGCTGCCAAGTACGGCTTGTACATGAACAGCTCATCTTACAATGGGCATCGGTCATGAGGCCCGTGGGGAGGCCGAGGTTTTTGTACCACTTCCCCATCTGTGTGTGTCACTGTGGGAAGCAGAATTTCCTTCAACCATACAGTGATAGACAGCCTCGTCCTCAGGCTGCAGCCCCGAGATGAGCAGGAGCCCCGCATTGGCCGAGGTGTCTTTGGATCCAGAGAAGCGGCTGGGGACCCCGGAGCCCTGTTTCTTACTTGAGTCTGATTTATATTCCAGGAGGTACCGGGGAGGGCTCCCTGGCTTCTGCTGGAACCAAATTATCCAGAAACCACTGAGAGGATAGGAAGTGTCACTCAGGGTGCAGGTGAGTCTGGCTGTGGCTCCCAGAGATGCAGAGAGGGAGGGCGGCTGAGTCAGCACAACCTGGGAGAGGGACCCTGCAGACACAGACACTTGTCAGTGACGGGGAGGGAACAGGGGACGTTTCCCAGGAGACTGAGCAGGAAGGGAAGAAGCCTGGTCCCAGGCCCGTCCCTACCTGTGCAGTGAGAGAGGAGCATGAGGAGCAGAGGAGTCCAGGCCATGGTGCTCACAGCCCTGAGCCCACAGTGGGGCTGGGCTGCCCAGGCCTCCTTTTCTCCCCCACCCTCTGCCAGAGGAGGGGCTGCCATGCAAATGGGAGCCCCTCCAGGGACTGCCCAGCCCCTCCCTGGGCCCTGGGGCTGGAGCTCAGCTCACACCCCAGACTGAGGGGCATGGAGGTGGGCTCACCCCTTGGGGGGCCCTGGGAGGAAGCACCTGCTGAGACCACACAAGGGTCCCTCCTAAGGGGGCGCTGCCAGGCCTGAGAAGACACAGCTGCTGAGTCCCCTGCAGGTGCCACAGGGCTCAGCCTCTGAGTGAATGGTCCTCTCTAAGCTGCAGTGTGAGGCCCACAGAGCGGTCCCCAGCGCCCCCTGCTGGTCACAGGTCACTCAGCTTCAGGTCACTCTGTGCACATGTGTGAGGGCTCCTTCCCAGCTGCTGTCACCCTGACACACTGCAGTGATGACTGTGGTGTTTCAGTCCCGGGTCCTCTTGTGGGAAAGGTCAAAGTGCACGTAAATAACATAGTAATTGGGTCTCACTCTCCATGAGGCTGTTGCAAAGCTAATGCACAGTGAGCTTCTCCCCCAGCAGCACAGGGAAGGGGCGGTGGGGCCGGTGTGAAGGGCCCATAGGGGCTGCTCACCACGTTAGAATCCGGGTCCTGTGGCGGGAGAGGCGTCTGTCCCCTTTCATCCCTGCGGGGACACAACCCTCGGCTGCGGGGCCTTCGGGCCTCAGGAAGCCCAGGGCAGGGTGAGCACCAGCCCCCCTGTTTCTGCGCTGACAGCACAGACTGCCCCCCAGCTCCCTGGGCCCCCAGATCCTCCCTGGGGGTGGCCAGGAGAGTGGGTACATTTACAGGAAAAGGGCTACTGCATGGGCTTCGCTAATCTGAGCGAAATGTGTGTGTGGGCACTTGGTCCTGACGTTCTTAGAAAAGAGTGTTCTCAGGAACAAGACAATAGCTGGTTGCACCCCAAAGGGGGCAGGTAGGGCCTCGGGACGCGGGAGGAGGAGACAATTACATTAGTAGCTCCCGTGTGCAAACAGGCAAAGGAGATCGGACTCATCCTCTTTGGAAAAATCAGTAATTGTCCTGTCACATTGAAGAGACTGGCTGAGCTGTGAGGAGCGGACAGCCTCAGGTGGGAGGTGAGAGAGGGAACAGGACTCTGAAGGGACTCGATGCTGATTAACTCCTGTGACTCTCCCTCCCTAGAGACGGAGGCCTGCAGGACGGAACTGCTATAGGAACTTGTCATTTTTCCCTGAAAACCCTCACGTGAGGATGGAGTTAGGACCTGAGGAGCCCGAGGGAGATGAGGGGGTGAGGGAGGCAGCAGCAGAGGAGGGAAGAGGGGGAGGGAGGGTGTCACTGAGAGTCTGTGCTGGTTGTGACCAACCTTCTGTGGGTTTGATCAGAGAAGGAGAAGGTTGTGCCCATGATCAGGGTGAACACTAACATATCAGACATGATGGGTCAGTAGTGACACAGGGTTCACACACATGACATTAATGTGTGGGGGAGCATGGCTGTCTGGGTGACCATGTGCAGTTGCAGACACAGGATGTGAGCTGATAGGAAACACATGCTGGTCTTGGCCCCTGGCCCTGGCACAGTGTCTGAGACCCTTGTCACTCCCTGGAGGATGGGCGGGCCTTTTGCTGATGAGGGGACGCTGGGTGGGCTCCTGTGTGAGGACGGGCCACTGGAGAGGCCGGGGAGGATTAGAAGCTTGGAAACTCCTCACCTGCCCCCATTCGCTTGAAGGGGAGAGGTCTCAGGTGCTGTTAGCAAATTCATGGAACCCAAGGGAGGGATCCTGGGAACCTTTGCTGTGAAGCCAAGAGGTTGTGTGAAACCTGAAACTTCCCACCTGTGAGTGGCACCTGACCTGTGGGCAGTCAGGGGGACTGGCCCTTTAACTGTGGGTCTGACACCGTCTCTGGGCAGATGGTGTGCGGACTGAGTGTTGCTGTGGGACATCAGCTGGTGTCAGAGAACTGCTATCGGGAAGAGAAATCCTCACACATCGGGGACCAGAGGGGTCAGGAGGGAAGTTTTCTTGAGGAGAAAACAAGATACACATTAGAAAAGAACGTGAGTGAAAGTTTAAAAATATTCACTGAGCCCGGCCAGTGTGGCTCAGTGGTTGAGCGTCGACCTGTGAACCAGGAGGTCAGGGTTGGGTTCCCGGTCAGAGCACAGGCCCAGGTTGCGGGCTGAATCCTCAGTGTGGGGCGTGCAGGGGGTAGCTGATCAATGGTTGCCTCTGTTCATTGTGTTTCTATCTCTCTCTTCTTTCCCTTCCTCTCTGAAAGCAGTAAAAATATATTTTAAAAATGTTTTAATGAAAATATTCACTCGGTTTATCCAGCAATACATGCGCTCATGACAATGCCTATGAAATAGGGCTGTGCTGAGAAGGAAGCTCTGACGTACAGCGAGCACACAGTCAGCTCTCAGCAGGTGTTAGTCCTCAGGATAATGATGAAGTTATTGCTTATTTCAGTGGCATCTTAGGTCGCCATAGAGGACGAAGAGGATTCTGGGGTGTGGCTTCAATCTGTCCAGACTCCAATGAAGATGAGCTGCAGCAACATAATGATATTCCTTCTTCTTAGAATTTCCCCCGACACGGGGGGTGGGCTGGGCTCTGCGACCACCGAGTGTGCCCCTGGGACGCCTGTGCTGCTGCTACATCGAGTGTGACCTCCCTCCTCCCGGGGACACAGGTCCCTGCAGAGGAGCCCCCCTGACAGAGGCCCCACGGACGCTCCTCGCTGAAGGGAGGCTCAGAGCCACCACCTCGGGGCCCAGGGGTTTTTGTCTCACTTCCTCGTCATCTGAGACACTGTGGGTAACTGTAGCTGCCCCCACTGCTATAATATACAGCACAGTAATAGTCAGCCTCGTCCTCAGGCTGCAGCCCCGAAATGAGCAGGATCCCCGCATTGGCCGAGGCGTCTTTGGATCCAGAGAAGCGGCTGGGGACCCCGGAGCCCTGGCGCTTATTTGAGTCTGAGTTGTAGGCCAGGAGGTACCGGGGAGGGCTCCCTGGCTTCTGCTGGTACCAGTATATGTTTTTCGCACCAACACTGACGTCAATGCTCAGGGTGCAGGTGAGTCTGGCCTTGGCTCCCAGAGATGCAGAGAGGGAGGGCGGCTGAGTCAGCACAGGCTGGGAGAGGGACCCTGCAGACACAGACACTTGTCAGTGATGGGCAGGGACCAGGGGACGTTTCCCAGGAGCCTGAGCAGGAAGGGAAGAAGCCTGGTCCCAGGCCTGTCCCTACCTGTGCAGTGAGAGAGGAGCATGAGGAGCAGAGGAGTCCAGGCCATGGTGCTCACAGCCCTGAGCCCACAGTGGGGCTGGGCTGCCCAGGCCTCCTTTTCTCCCCCACCCTCTGCCAGGGGAGGGGCTGCCATGCAAATGGGGTCCCTCCAGGGACTGCCCAGCCCTCCCTGGGCCCTGGGGCTGGAGCTCAGCTCACACCCCAGACTGAGGACCATGGAGGTGGATTCACGCCTTGGGGGACCCTGGGAGGAAGCACCTGCTGAGACCACACAAGGGTCCCTGCTCAGGGGGCACTGCCAGGCCTCCAAGGACAGCAGGGAGCCCACAGTGCAGGGGCCTGTGTGTGAAGGTCTCACTGAACAGCTGTGTGCTGATCACCTGGCAGTCCCACAGCGCCCCCTGCTGGTGGGAGGACACACCCTCCTCTGCCCCAAAGTCCTGAGAGTCCAGCTGGCTGTGGGCTCCCCAGGTCTCTGTCCCTGTTCCCACACCCACGGTCTGAGCCCAGATCCTGCGATGTGATTCTCTGTATTGATCACCGTAGCATTTCACTCTCAGGTCTGCATCTGTGTGATGAGCTTAAACATTCACAAATGACAAATGAATATGGTTTCTCTTCCAGTAAAGATGCTGCACAAATAAATGCACAGTGAGCCTCTTGTCCAACCTCACAGGTGAAGTAGCTGCTCAGGTGTGATGAGCTCCTGGGGGCTGTTCAGGTCAATGAAGGAGAGAGGAACTTTCCAGAATTACCCTCAGGGTCACATTTAAAGAAGGACCATTCAGCAAACATCTCAAACCATGTACAGCATCAAATCATTGTCATGTGATTTGAGTTAGTGATTCATTAAAAAAAAACCAACAACGGTTTGGAGGGCTCCACATTTACCGGTGGGCCTTGTAGCACGTGGGGTTTTTTAAATTTTAGGAAATGCCTTTATATTCCAACATTTGTATGTGCTGCTTTCTGTGACCAACATTGTCTTCGGTGTTCTAAAATGTGCTTATATATATATATATATTTTAAATTCCCTGCCTGTCCTTTCATGCCTGTTTCCTCATTTTCGGCACAAGCTACAGGGGATGGTGAGGAGCTGGCAGACGTGGTGACTGACACTCTCCCCACACGTAGGACGCGTCCCACAGCAGCGTGTGAGCTCCTGAGGGGGGAGGGCATTGCCCCAAAGACCAGGAGCCACACTGTGGCCCTCACTCCTCAGGGCTCAGGGTCCCCAGGGAGCGGATCAGGGACCACACAGGCACCTGCTCTCTGGCTGGATGGGGGTCCCAGGCTGTGTGGGGAGCCCCAGGTCACAGAACACACACTGGCCTCTCTGAGGGGCTCTGACGCAGGCACAGCTGGACTCAGGGGTCTTGGGTTTGCCCTGCCCAGTCCTGGCCGCCCAGGGCAGCCGCCCCCTGACGCCCAGGCAGGTCTGCTCAGGCTGAGACACACACACCGTGTGCTGCTGCCAGGGGTGTCTTGATGGGCAGGTTCAAAGGGTGAGGACAGGTTTTGCTGACACAGTCCCCTGGGGGGCCCTCAGAGCCCAGTTTCAGGCCACCAGCAAAGGCACAGCCGTCTCATCAGAGGATGGGGCTGCCCTGGGCCCACTGCAGCGGGACAGCGGGTTTTTGTCTCACTTCCCCACAGGCCTGGAGCACCGTGTGAGCACTGAGACTGCTGTCCCATGCTAAGCAGTAATAATTCTGCCTCGTCCTCAGCCTGCAGCCCGTGGATGGTCAGGGAGCCTGAGCTGCCAGACCTGGAGCCAGAGAAATCGG